GTTATAGAGTAAGTAAACAGTAAATTCATTTTTACAGACTGAAAGGGAAAGAGTTCCAATCACAAAAGCATTCCAAACAACACCAGCCAAAAGAGGATTAATCTTAGGTCTTGGAGTTATGATTTTTCAACAGTTTTCTGGGTGTAATGCCGTTATTTTCTATGCTACAACTATTTTCAATGTAAATAAGTTCATTAAATTCTGTAACTTCTTAAAATTGAATTATCTATAATAATAATATAAAATTTTGTGCAGGCAACTGGGAGTTCAATCGGATCAAATACATCCACAATTATTATTGGCATCATGGCCGTAGTGTCAACCTATGTATCAACGCTTGTCGTTGATAAATTAGGACGAAAAATTCTGTTGTTGTATTCTGTTGTTGCCATGGGAATTTGTACATTCCTTATTGGTGGATTTTTTTATGCAAAAGAATTCCACTATAATATTTCGTCAATTGGATTTATCCCATTAATGTCGTTATGTATATTCATAATATTATTCTCCATTGGATTTGGTCCCATTCCATGGATGTTAATGGGTGAAATATTCCCAGCTCAAATTAAAGGTATGATTATGAATTAAAGATGTAATATTGATTTTAAGAAAGTTGAGTATGTAGTATTTATTAGCATTCACTAGCTATGTACTAAGTAATTATTTCTTATTTGTTTTTAGATTTATAAGAACTTAATTCCTTAGTAAATATTTCATTAATAGTAATTCCCAGAGTTAATTATATACACACTGTTCACACTATGAGGTACCACTTAATATTTCAGTTAAATTACCTTGTATTGAAATGGGGTTTTTCTGAATGACAGATACCTAGTACTTAAGTACACATTTTTAGATAAATTTCAAATTGTTAACACTTTCAATATGTGCATGTGCGATACAACTTAATTTTTTTTTAAATGGTAACATCAACTTTATTTTATATATATACTTGGATAGAGTATTTTTTTCTAAACAATTTATGTGTAAAAAGTTTTTTCCTAATTACAAAATTGGCATATGAAATTTGATATTTACGAGTAATTTGTTTTTGATGAAATTTAAATTAAATTCCGCTTATTCAATAAGCTAGATTATTTCAGAAGCAAGAATGAAAAATATGAGAGTAAATTACATTAAAAAAAGTGTTTATTTATATTTTATCTGAGTGCAAACAGGTATTAAAGAATATTAGATACTAATAGTAATAAGTAATAATAAGTTGAATTTAGTTTAAATTTCGTCAAAAACAAATTAATCGTAAATATTTAATTTTCATATGCCAATTTTTTAATTAGAAAAAAAATKTTTGCACATAAATTGTTTAAAAATAAACACTATCCAAATAAGTAAAAAAAAAATGGTATTACCATTCAAAATAAAGTAAGTTATATCACTCATGTGCTTATCGAAAGTGTTAAAAATTTGAAATTTATCAAAAAATGTGCTTTTAAGTACTATATGTCATTGAAGAAAACCCCATTTCAATACAAGACAATTGAACTAAAATATTTTGTGGTACCTTTTAGCGTGGACAGTGTAAAAATGAAATATATGCAGTATGTATATATTTAATTTTCATAAATATATCTTTAGTCAATTTTTATTTAGGGGAAACAATATTCTTCAAAAAACTTGTTTTATTTGTAAAAAATATTAATTTTTTTACTTGATCGTATTTTTGTTATAGGAATTGCTAGCTCAATAGTTTGTATGTCAAACTGGCTGTTTGTTTTCTTGGTTACCAAATTTTTCACATTATTGGTATCTGCGATTTACCTATACAACACATTTTGGCTATTCACATTGTTCAGTGTATTGGGAACAATCTTTGTGGTCTTTTTTGTCCCTGAAACTAAAGGCAAGACCATGGAAGAAATTCAAGAATTGCTTGGAGCTAATCATACTCCACTATTAACAGAAAATCAAAATGATGCCTAGGAATAATATATTTCATATTATTTATATTTAAAACTTAAACAATTTTATTATTTATTCACCAACCAATCATATATTATTATTATATAATTATGTATGATTGTTTAGATTAATTACTCTTGGAAATAGTTGCACATGTTTTTATCAACAACAACCATTTAATTTTTTACCTGTTTTAGTATGTATTAATTATTGGATCTGTTTTAAATGGTATAAAATTTTTTTTTTATTTAATTTAAATGTATATTACTATAGAAAATATTTTTATTCTGACCAACTTAAAGCTTATGCTGTGATGAAMTTTTTTAGTTTTAGCTTAAATTTCTAATTTTTAGAAGATTTCCATGAATTAAATCTAGTATCTGACACTATTATTGTTATGCATTCCTAATTGGCGAAGCAATTTAAATCTGTGATACCTAAAGACTTTTTAATTGTATAAAAACATGTATGTAATCAAATATATTAATAAACACTTTTAACGAGTATTTATTTATTTGTTTTTATTATTATAAAATAAATTTTAATCTATACTATTTTATTAAAATAATATTTACAATTGGCACRAAACATACAAGTAGGAAGAAAGACAAAAAAAGGTGTTAAAAAATAAAAAAACCAAATAAAAATTAAATAATGGCACAGTTAATGTTACTATTAAAGAAGAACAACCCTTATTATAAGTTTAAAGAAATAATAACCTATTCAAAATATTCAAAAACTGATTTGTCATAATACATACATAATATAATATAATATACTACCGGCTGGAAGGCCCACAACCATGCATCTAAGCATAATCCTGTAAATGCGTGCTTGTTTGTGGTCTGTCTATGACAGCGTTTTGCCTACAGTCTACGATCAATAATTTTATAATTGTATTGTACAGTTGTAATTTGTATTGGCATATTAAATTAACGGTTATGAGTTATGACTGACGGAAGACAGKGCCAGGTATGTTATATAGTATTTTCTATAATATACCACCACAGAGGCACAGAATAGATTAAACAATATAATACCTTGCAAGCCACACGAAATTTATTTTTTACATGTCTAGCATCGATTATTTAAAAAATGTATAATCAATGATACTAATATACAACATACAACAATCTACGGATAGTTCTGAGGACCTTATTGTATGTGTGTATTGAGCCATACCTATTCTAATTAATATATGTTTATATATATTACCTACTTATCTAGATATGTAATTTTTTTACGTTCTATAAATAACATTTTCCCAAACAATGATAGGTAATGATATAATGCAATAGGAGACTAGGACTTTATTAGATATTAGAGCACGTCGATTATAATACTATTATTTAGATCTGTTATGCTTTACAGCGTTTTCGAATCGAAAAAAAATTGTGCAGAGTAGGTACAATGTAATTTCATTAGCACTCCATGACTATAGGAGTGTTGCACTTTGTACAATCTATAAAATGAATAAGAAAAATAAATATTTTGAGTTATAAATAAAAAATACAATAGTACCATAATGGTAATAATATGATGAATAGAAAATTACACAATGATGTGTATCATTATAAATWAAAACGGTTCATATTATTATATTAATCATATTTAAGATTTATTAAATGCATTCATTGCACTCACAAAATTGRTACAGTATTACARTAAAAAAAGCTACGAATTTAGTTAATCTTAATTTGTAGAAAAAGTCCACTGACGACTGCACATGTCAKTGAAACTAAAACGAATACAAAATACTGCACATGTTCACTGAATATTGGTGAGATCGAATATTATGTTCTTACACTGAGTGTAAAAAGTGCGTCAAATCGACCACACGCTATTAGACCATAAATATTATTTTTCGTTTATTAAATTTTTATGGTTTCAATATAATATCTTGTTTTTACAATATGTTCAGAATATAAATATAAATTCAAATAAAYAAACATATATAAAGAATTAAAGAACTCTATCAATAGGTATGTCCTTTACTTTGATAAATATTTCATAAGTTATAGATTTATAAAACCGTGATTTAAGGTAACAATTTATTTTATGGGAACGTTCAAACGTTATTACGTATCATGAATATAATAAAAAAAAACYKTAAAATAAARCAATTGCCAAGGCCATGAACCTACTTTTTATTATTTATTTTCATTTTATACTATGAACTTAATGTATTCAGGTATATTTTTTACATTTTAATATAATAAGTTTATGCCTACATAGGTAACGATGAGTGATACATACTTTATGTCAAAATTCTTGAAAAAACTGCCATTGTAAACGATGGTGACTCACCAGCATGCTCAACCCACTTTCCTTTAATATTGAACATTAATTGAATTCGCAAATTTAAATTCTGATTTTTCAAAACTTTCAGTATAGGTATACCGATTTGCCTAATAAATAACCCCGGAAAAAATA